CGCGAGCATGCGCGGGTAAGCGCGGCCGCAGATATGTACCAGCCAATTCCATGCACTCATCGCAATTGCCGCCACATGGGTTCTGTAAACCAAGTTGCTGGTGGTTGGGTGGGATGCTTGCGCGGGCAGTTGACTGGACAACGTACTACGAACAACAATTAATTGCACCACATAGATTCCACGACGTAGCTTGCCCCCCAACATTCATTGCACTGCAGAGATTGCACAACATAGGTCTCACCACATAGGGTGCAACACATATCCTGAATAACATAGGTCGCACCACCTAGATTCTCCTTTCTAAAGCAAGAATAAACTTTACCCCCAAAAAAAATCAACGGGTCACATTTTCGTGTTGCACTTCGCATACGATTCTGCCCCATCGTCCATCCGAATTATGAATTCATACTATCCCAGCCAAGCCGGTACCGCCCCCCCGCTGTCCTCTGCAAGAATTACGATGCGCGCACATTACGATTACGGCGTCGTCGTAGTCGTCGTCGTCGTCGTCGCCGTTGTCGTCGTCGACGTCGCTGTCGTCGTCGGCGTCGGCGTTGCTGCCAAATGCAATTTGGTACCTACCGTCACGGTCTTAAGAGGTTTTGCAAACCAAGTTGCGGGTGGGTGGGTGGGATGTTTGCAAGCGCATGGGCCATTGCCGCTTGGGATGTGTCAAATCATTGGTAACAATCAACTGCACTACATAGACTGCAACACGCATATTCTACCGTATATACTACACCACCTAGATTGTTCAACGTATATTGCACACCATGGACTGCACCACCTATATTGAGCAACATACATCGCGCAGCATATATTGCACACCATAGATGGCACAACATAGATCGCAACACCTAGGTTGCACCACATAGACTGCACCGCATGCAGTGCACTATGTAGATGGCACCACGTATACAATCTGACCTCGGACAGAAGAGCATCCTTCAAGAACATGAGATCCTCCGCCGGCCAAACCACACAGATTATCCAAGGATACCCTCCCCAGGATGCACAAAACGTCCAACAATCACGAAGAACACTAGGGTACCCTCCCCGAGCCGACCTCGATCTTGTATCTCGGTCCGACAGTGTACATGTACTACACAGCAGCGGCTGCTAGGAACACACATTGTCTGGCCCCCTATACACACACACACACGTTTGCGTGTGCATGTGTTTTGTTTGCAGGATGGTCCAAGATGCCCCCAGATGGTCCCAATGCTCTGGTGCTGGCCTCGCCGAGGAGAAGTGCGCAGTGCGCGCGCATGGGCGATGCCGAAGGACCTCTTGGAAGCCGAGGAATCGACGCGGTCGGGGAGCGAGCCGGGCCAGCTCGGCATCGAATCGGATCGATCGAGTTGAGGAGGAGGAGGAGGAAGAGGAGGAGGAGGAGGAGCTGGGGGGGCGGAGGAGGAGGAGGAGGAGGTGGAAGTGGTGGAGGGAAAGGAGAGGAGGAGGAGGTGGAGGAAAGGAGAAGGAGAAGGAGGAGGAGGAGGAGGAGGGGGAGGGAAAAGGAGGAGGGAGGAGGAGAAGGAGGAGGAGGGGGAGGAGGAGGAGGCGGAGGAAAGGGAGGAGGAACAGGAGGAGGAAGAGAAGGAGGAGGGAGGGGGGGAGGAGGAGAGGAGAGGAGGAGGAGGAGGAGGAGGAGGAGGAGGAGGAGGAGGAGAGGAGGAGGAGAGGGGAGGAGGAGCGAAGGAGGAGAGAGGAGAGGAGGAGGAGGAGGAGGAGAGGAGAGGAGGGGAGGAGGAGGAGAGGAGAGGAGGAGGAGAGGAGGGAGGGAGAGGAGGAGGAGGAGAGGGGGGGGCCAGCGGGGCGGGAACACGGAGAGGCGCGGCGGCACCCGCCCGCGCGGCCGCCCGCCGCGGCCGCGGCACGGGCGCCGGCGGGCGCGCCGGCCGCGGCTGCCGTGGCCCCCCGCGGCGCCCCAGGGCGTCTGCAGAGCTCGGAGAGGGGCGGGGGGCATTGATCTGAGCAGTTCGGGGATGGACAGACCTCCCTTTAGTAAACCTCTTTTCAGTGAGAACGGCCTAGGGCCGAAACTGACGAAACCTGGACCCGCAAGAATGACGGCCGCGACGCCCTCTCGCGAACCGAGAACGGCCAATTCCGTAATCGACGTGTCAGGGTAGGAGGTCTATCCACCTCGGAACAGTTTTTCATGGTAGAGGGCTCAGGGTGAAATCCACATGGTCTTTCGCACCTCGAAAATCCGTCCGTTTTGTAATTCACCTTTTGCAGATTCAGGCCTCGCAAATCCATCGAAACGGCATTTCAGATTCCACCCTTTGCCCTGCACCCAAAGACAATGCTCGGCTGGTGTTGGCCGATCACGCCATCCGATCACGTGATGCCATCGCAGCCCTGATCACTTTGGCGGCCGCGCCGATCACAGGCCGATCGCGCAGATCCAGCTCGGAGGGTCACGAGATCAGGCCGAAGCGACGACGCGGTCGGCGACCACGCGATCCACGGAGGACTGCGGTCTGTGATCGCCGGTCGCGTGATCAGCAGACACCGTGAAGGGGGGGGGGGGGTACGGGGCGCGCGGGGAGCGCGGCCTGGTTTTGTCGGGGCGGCGGTTTTCGGCGGCGAGGAGGAGCACCGCCTTGAGGCGAAAAAAAGAGGAAACATCGAGCGGGAGCGTTGTTTTTTGCTGGGGGCGGCGCCGATGGGAGAAAGAATAGCGCGCCAGTCCAAGGTAAAACGGAAGGAGGTCTCGAGCGGGAGCGCTGGTTCTGTTAGGACGGCGGCTTTCGGCGGCGAGCAAGAACACCAGCCATGAGTAAAAAAGGAGGAAGTCTCGAGCGGGAGAGTTGTTGTTGTTGGGGGGCCGGTTTTGGCGGTCCCCCAAGCCGCTCGAGCGTGAGCCTCATTTTCAATGAACATGTAGCCGGCGCCTCGGCGAGAGCGCCAAAGCGCCTTTAACGGGTCCAACAATGATAATTGTTTAGTACTTCGCATTCAGCAACAACAACACCACCGACAGCAGCAACAACAACAGCAACACCACCACCACCACCAACAACAAAAAACAAAAGCAACACCAACACCAACACCACCACCACCACCACCAACAACAACACTAACACCACCACCACCAACAACAACACCAACACAAACACCAGCAACACCAGCAACAGCAACAGCAACAACACCAACAACCACAACCACAACCACAACAACAACAGCAACAACAACAACAACAATTACTAGCACGTGGGGACACTCCGTTCTCACCAGTGCCAGGGATTTCACACGACGCCCGCCAATACCCCCACTTTGTGGGGGGGCCGTTTCAAGCTCTACCACATTTCCAAACGACTCTTCGCCACCACCCACACCCAGCTTCCCGCCCTATGACGTTCGGACACTTCACTTCGTGGCCTGCGGACGACCGTGGCTACTACACTGGCGCATGGGTACAGTGACTTGTTGTGGTAACATTTTCTGGACGCTAGCTTAGTATACGATTTTTCCCCCTGTTCCAACACTGGACACCTGTACTGGTCTTTGGTGGTAACGTGTTCCTGACGCTAGAATAGTGGCCCCTGGCAGGCGCGCGAACGCCGTTGAAAGAGCTTGCGAAAGTAGCTCGCGCGAGCTCATGTAACATAGATGTTGAAAAACCATTGGTTTTTTAGGATTCGGACAGCGCGCGCGGGTAGAAATTTTGAAAATTCGTACAGATGTTTTTCGAGGACCTACGGTGCGATTCGTATGATTTTATGTTGCGCGGTGCTAGAATTCCTAAGAAACCCAATGGTGTTTGAAGATTTCGGCGTGCGCGCGCAAAGAAAAAACGAATGTGTCCCATATGGTATTATTTGACAGGGATGATGACCCTGGCAGGTGCGCAACGGTTGTTGGAGAAGTTCGAAGCACGTGAAAAAGTTGCTCGCAAGAGCCCGTTTGACAGAAATGTTTTAAAAGTGCTGGGTTTCCTAAGAAATCCGCAAGAGCGCGCGGGATGAAATTTTGACACTTTTGTTTGAAAAAAACATTGTTTTTTTTATGTTTTTATGTTGAAATCGTTACGAACACTAAGGTTTTGGAAGGATTTCGTCTTGCGCGCGCGAATGTCCACTTTACCTTATTTTTTGCAAGGGATTCTTGAAGTTTGGTTATGTTAGAACAGGAAATGTCCACTTTAGTTTATTTTTTGCAAGGGAAAAAGGGGGACAACAAAACAACCGGATCCGGACACCCACGTTTTGCCTGAGACTTCCTCACGAAAATGATGAAAATGTGGCTGCGGCCTAGGCGCGGCGAGGGGGCCGCGCACCAGGGGCCCCAACAATAATTATTCTTTAGAATAAATAATGTTCAACAACAACAACAAGAACAACAACAAGAACAACAACAACAACAACAACAACAACAACAACAACAACAACAACACCAACTCCAACACCAACACCAACACCACCAACAACAACAACAACAACGCATCTAAAGAAAACGAGGGCTCCAGGCGCCGCAAGACACATACCAAGGGACAACACCTGCTCGCAGCGCCCCGACAAAGACGGGGGAGGGCTGCGATCAAAGAGAGACATGCAGAGACGCAACCTGTATCACGTCGTCCCCGCCGAAAGCTGAGCCGACATTCGCGCGATGGAGGACCAGGAGTGCTCGTGGAGCACCGCGCGTTCGCGGGCCGCGCGAAGGCTGAAGCCCATTGCTTCGCCGGGCAGCCAGGAGTGCCAACGCGCGTGTGCTCCTGCCCGACACGCCACCACATCTTCCTTTCTTTTTCTAAAGCGTCGATCGGCTCGAGCGGCGAGCAGGAGCGAAGGGCCGCATTGCGCGGGCTGCCAGGGGGCGCAGAGCGAGAAACACTTTGTTTGACAGAGCCGAGATACCTCCAGACGAATGCCTGTCAACAAACCTATCCCATTCCTTAGCTTGGACCGGGCAGAGCGCCGGCGGTGCAACTGCGCCTCGTCGCACGCCGATCACGCCAGGCGCTGGGCAGCGCGCGCGGGGAGGTACTGAACCTGGCGCACTGTGGCCGCCCACGCGGCAACCTCGGCTGCGTCAGGCAACCGGCGAAAACGAAAGAGGCGGCGGGCGGCGTCGGCGAACTGAAACCTGCGGGTGCCGATCGGCTCGTGGCCGAAGTCGGCAAGAAGTGACTGCGCCATGCGCTGCCGACGCGCAAGGGGCAGAATCTCGGGGAACCCGGGAGGGGCGAGGGTGCAGGGGCTCATCTCTGCCCGCGAACGCGCCGCACCTGTCGGCTTTAATTGGAAAGCGGCGAAGCCACTCGGCCCCGGCAGTCCTTAGAGAAGCGCCCCGCTGTTCCTGAATAAGAAGGTCGGGGCCCTCGCGCAGCAGACCAACATGCTCCCTGGGACCCGCGGCGGGGAGAGGTCATCCTCATGCTGAAATAATGTGCGCAAGGTTTTCGCGTAGTGTTTTTGCGCCGTGGCTTTGCGTAGTGCTTTTGCGTAGTGGCTTTGCGTCGTTGCGTAGGGTTTTGGCGCGGTTTTTGCGCAGGGTTATTGCGCGGGGTCTTCGCGCGATGCACTTCGGCGCCGCACTTTTGCGTAGCAGTCTTCGGCGTAGAGTTGTTGCGTGGCGCTTTCGGCGCGCAGCATTTCTGCGAAGTGTTGCTTTCGTACTTTTTGCGTAGCGTTTCTGCGAAGCGTTTCTTTCGCGTAGCGTTTCTGCGCAGCGCTTTGGTTGCGTAAGGTGTTCGCTCAGCGTGTTTCTTCGTCCACTTGTTTCGCCTGCGTCGCGTTTTGTTATCGCTACGTTTTCACGTGATGTTTTTCTGCGTAATGTTTCTGCGTAGTCTTTTTGCGTATTGTTTTCTGTAGTGTGTTGGCATAGTTGTTTCGCGTAAGGTCTGTGCGAGGGGGCTTCGCGTAATCTTTTTGTTGGCGTCGAATTCGTGCGCGGTGTTCTTCGGCGTTGAGTTTTCGCGTGGCTACAGCTACTCCGACTCCTACTACTCCCACTACGACTCCGACCTCGGCTCCCACAACTCCTGCTAGTCTTGCTACCACTCCTACTCCGACCCCTACTACTCCTACTATTACCTCTACTCCTACTCCAACTCCTTCTACTCCTACTACTACTCCTCCTCCGACTCCTTCTACTTCTACTACTCATACTCCTCCTACTACTCCTACGATTATTCCTACTACGACTCCTACCACTACTCCCACTCCTACTCCGACTCTTACTGCTACTCCTACTCCTACTCCAGCTCCTACTATACGTCCTCCTCCTCCTACTACTACTCGGACTTCGTCTCCTTCTACTCATCCTGCTCCGAACCTTGCGACCACTTTACTCCTACCACAAATTGTACTACTACTCCTACTACGACGATTACTACTACTACTACTACTACTACTACTCCTACTACTACTACTACTACTACTACTACTACTACCACTAGAACTAGAACTACTACTGCTGCTAATAATACTACTATCACTACTACGACTACTACTACTACTACTACTACTACTACTACTACGGCTAGTACTACTACTACTACTACTACTACTACGACTACTACGACTACTACGACTACTACGACTACGACTACTACTACTACTACTACTACTACTACAGCTACTACCACGACAACTACCACTACAACAACAACTACTACTACGACTATGACTACGAGTGCTACTCCCCCTACTCCTGCTACTACTACTACTACTTTTACGTCGTGACGTCACGTAGTGTTGTTACGTCGCGCTACTCCCAGCCCCACTACGATTCCCACTGCTACTACAAACCCTACTCCTACTACTACGACCTGGCTAGGTATCTTTAAACTACTACACCACCACCACCACCACCAACAACTACTACTACTACTACTACTACTACTCCTACGACTACTCCTGATACTCCTGCCAGTCCTGCTACCTCAACTGCTTCTACGTAGTGTTGATGCTACGTGCTTTTCCTACGCATACGTGTGCTCATACTCCTAGTGCAACTCCCACCCCTACTCCGACTCCTACACCTACTACTGTTCCTGCTCCTACTGATAATCCTACACCAGCTCCTACTACTCCTCCTACTCCGACTCCGACAGCTCATCGCTATACTCCTCCTCTTCCTACTCCTCCCCCTCCTACTACTACTACGAATAAGGCTACTACTACGACTACTACTACTCTAAAAGGTATTACCCCTCCTACTACCACTCCTACACCTACTCCGACTTCCACGACTCATCCTCCTACTACTACTACTACTCCTACGACTACTCGCCCTACTACTACTACTACTACTACTACTACTACTACTACTACTACTACTACTACTACTACGACGGCTACTACGACTACTGCTACGCCTACTACTACTACTACTACTACTACTACTACTACTACTACTACTACTACTACTACTACTACTACTACTACTACTACTACTACTACTACTACTACTACTACTACTACTACTACTACTACTACTACTACTACTACTACTACTACTACTACTACTACTACTACTACTACTTACTACTACTACTACTACTACTACTACTACTACTACTACTACTACTACTCTACTACTACTACTACTACTACTACTACTACTACTACTACTACTACTACTACTACTACTACTACTACTACTACTACTACTACTACTACTACTACTACTACTACTACTACTACTACTACTACTACTACTACTACTACTACTACTACTACTACTACTACTACTACTACGACTACTACTACTATACTACTACTACTACTACTACTACTACTACTACTACTACTACTACTACTACTACTACGACTACTACTACTACTTCTACTACTACTACTGCTGATATTCCTACTCCGACTCCTACACCGACTCCGGCTTCTAGTACCCATCCTGATACTACGACTGCTACCACGAATACTGCTACTACTACTGCAACTACTACTACTACGGCTACTACTACTACTACTACTACTACTACTACTACGACTACTACTCCTACTACTATTACTACGACTACTGACTACTACTGCTGCTACTACTACTACTACTACTACTACTACTACTACACTACTGCTACTACTACTACTACTACTAAACTACTACTACTACTACTTACTACTACTACTACTACTACTACCACGTACTACTACTACGACTACTACTGCGACTACTACTACTACTACTACTACTACTACTACTACTACTACTACTACTACTACTACTACTACTACTACTACTACTACTACTACTACTACTACTACTACTACTACTACTACTACTACTACTACTACTACTACTACTACTACTACTACTACTACTACTACTACTACTACTACTACTACTACTACTACTACTACTACTACTACTACTAGTACTACTACTACTACTACTACTACGACTAGTACTACTACTACTACTACTACTACTACTACTACTACTACTACTACTACTGCTATTACTACTACTACTACTACTACTGCTGCTGCTGCCACTACTACTACTACTACTATTACTTCTTCTTCTACTACGACTACTACTCCTACGACTATTTCTAGTACTACGCCTACTACTCCTACCCATCATATTCCTACCACTCCTACTAATACGCTTACTACTCCTACTCCTCCTCCTACGACTACCCTTTCTACCCCTACTACTACTCCTACGACTACCCCTACTACTCCAACTGCTACTTTGGTGTCGTGCTTTTACGTGGTGTTTGCGCGTCGTGTGTTCTTGTCGTTCTCTTACGTAATGTTTATTCTGCTCTTCAAATTGAAATTTCAAACGTAAGATGTTAATTGCAGCATGAACCGTCATCGCCCACGGCGGGGGGCGGACGCGCGTGCCCGATGGGAGGCCCAACGGGGGCTTTTCGGCGACCAGAAAGAACCTCTCCCGACACGAAGGTTCGACCGAGGGAATGAGGAGCCCGACTGGGAGGTTGGAAGAGATGGGGAAATGAAGCGCAACTTCAAATCTGGCACGGCTTGCGATCTGCCTGGGCACGACAAGGCAGTCGATGCACCGCGCAGATGGCCTGCACGCGCCTCGCTGAGCGGCTGCCGCGACCGCCGCATCAATCCACGCGCCCTTGGCGAGATCCGCGCGCTGGATGTTCCAATCGCCACCGATGGTGGAGAAAGAATGTGGGGGCCTGGCGCAGGGCCCCGGCAATGGTGGCCCCAGGGGGGACAAAGTGAAGCTCCCCGCCTGCACCCCTGCGCGAGACGAGAGGGCGAACGATGCCAGGGGCCCGGGGGCTGAGGAGAGGCGAGGAAGGGGACGCGCGACGAGAGCGCAAGCAGAGAGAGGGTTGGGATAACCGGAGGCGGCGAGGTGAGTGTCAAAATCTGCCCGGCCAGGCCGACACGCGGAACACTGCGCCTCATTTCTGGGGGTCCTGATGGCCAGGGCAGCACGAATTCGAATTGTGGGGACAGGCAAATGGCGAGCTCACATTGTGGGAGGAAAGGTATATGTGAACTCCCAGCGGGGAAAACAAGGCAATGTGAATTCTCAGTTTGAAAATTAATATACGATTCTGTAGGAAAGGGGCCAGAATGTGAATCCACTCTCTGGGACGGAAGACATGTGAACTCACACGCTGGGACAATAATGAATTTCAACTCGCATTGTGGGAAAATTGCGGGGCCCGTTCCAAATCAGTCTTAGACGTCGACAGGACATCGTTTGAGAACATACGCGATCATCAATCGTACAATCAATACAAACTTGCACCCCACCTGGCCGCCACGACCGCAATATGCAAGAACGGCCGCGCGCGTGAACGATAATGGAATGGACGGCGCGAATGCCCGCGCGGGCAACGCGCGGGCACAAACGACTGGCCCTTGTATGACAGCCAACATTGGATGCCAATCATGCCCGATCAGATTTATCAGCGAAATATTGAGCACACGTGGGACATTCAACCCCCTTTCCAGACCCAGTGTTGAGGGCCCCTTCTTTCGCCCTCCGGCGTTGACGAAGGGGGTCGGCCCAGAACCAGGACTGCAACATATGGTCCACTTCTGACCATTAGTGCCGACAGCATGAATCAAATTAGTTTGGCCACAACGAGTCCTCCTCCAAGCAAGCCTCCGACGTTGCGACGCGAAGCTCGACTGGGAACAATCTCCCACTCGAAGTGCCCTAGAGTGCCGAGCCTGACTCGCATGACAGTCCACGCGGCCGGCCCCCCTGATGAGTTGCACCCAGACCGCGGCGCCGCACGCGAAGTGGCTGACCAGCCTGAAGCGCGCATCCGGGCTTCAACAGAATCGCAAGCATGGGGAAACGCCCGCGTCCCCTGCAGCCAAAGCAAGTCAAACATAATCGCTGCAGAAAGGTACTCATCAAGACCGTCCTTCCCGCCAACATTAGCGGCGACGAAAGTCCCCACTGCTTCCGCGCGCTACGCAGAGCACTGCTCTTCGCTGGAAGAATTCGCGCAACAATTGAAAACAAAAACAAACAACAACAACAACAACAACAACAACAACAACAACAACAACAACACGAACAATCATTTAAGACTGGGGACACTCCGTTCTCACCAGTGCCAGGGTTTTCATAGGAGGCGGGCAATACCCCCACTTTGTGGGGGGGCCGTCTCAAGCTCTACCAAGTTTCCAAACGACTCTTCGCCACCACCCACACCCAGCTTCCCGCCCTATGACGTTCGGACACTTCACTTCGTGGCCTGCGGGCGACCTTGGCTACTATTCAGGGCCCCGCGGCCGACGACGACGGCGTGCGCGCGCGAAGAAAAAACGAATGTGTCCCGCATGGTATTATTTGACAGGGATGATGGCCCTGGCAGGTGCGCAACCGTTGTTGCAGAAGTTCGAAAAAGTTGCTCGCAAAAGCCCGTTTGACAGAAATGTTTAAAAAGTGTTGGGTTTCCTACGAATCCGCAAGAGCGCGCGGGATGAAATGTTGACATTTTTTTTTGAAAAACCATTGGTTTTTTGATGTTTTTATGTTAAAATCGCTACGAACACTAAGGTTTTGGAAGGATTTCGTCTTGCGCGCGCGAATGTCCACTTTACCTTTTTTTTGCAAGGGATTCTTGAAGTTTGGTTATGTTAGAACAAGAAATGTCCACTTTAGCTTATTTTTTGCAAGGGAAAACGGGGGACAACAAAACAACCGGATCTGGACCACATCGTTTTGCCTGAGACTTCCTCACGAAAATGATGAAAATGTGGCTGCGGCCTAGGCGCGGCGAGGGGGCCGCGCACCAGGGGCCCCAACAATAATTATTCTTTAGAATAAATAATGTTCAACAACAACAACAACAACAATAACAACAACAACAACAACAACAACACCAACACCAACACCAACACCAACACCAACACCAACACCAACACCAACAACAACAACAACAGCAACAACAACAACAACAACAACAACAACAACACCAACAACAACAACAGCAGCAACAACAACAAAACCAACAACAACAGCAACAACAGCAACAACACCAACACCAACACCAACACCAACACCAACACCACCAACAACAACATCAGCAACCACAACCACAACCACAACCACAACAACAACATCAACAGCAACAACAACAACACGAACAACAACAATAACATCAACAACAACAACACCACCAACAACAACAGAAAGGCCGTGGGGTCAGATGCAGCGCCGCGGGATAGCCCTGGAGCTTTTATTATGGCGTCGGTCCTTGATCCCCGCGGCGACTCCTGCAAAGCAGCAGCGTGTTCGGGCAGTCCTTTTCCAACTGTTTCCCAATGCGTGCGCCGTCAAGCTCTCCAGAAATTCCCCTCCAGAACTTCCAGAGCTCCTCCGACTGACATTCGAAAAGCTAGTGTCGCCTGGGAATCCGGGCATTGGACGCTGCAAGCTCAGGCGCACTTGGCTACCGGAGTCGGGCATGTCAAAGGGATGGATATCCAGCTTCTCAACGGCTGCATCGCCGAGCCCGCCGATCACATTCTCGCACTGCTTGCGCGCGAGGCCCTTCTTGGAAAAGAACGCGCCCCGGCCGTCGTCAGTGGCGCGGCGCTGGAGGAACGAAGAGAAGACGCGGGCAGCCGCTGGGCCGCTCTCCGCTCCAGCGGCGCCCCCCTCCACCAGCCGCGACCCGCCATTCCCCCCGCCAGGATCGAGCGAGGCAGGCGAGGCGCCCGGGGCACAAGGAGAGGATGCTGCGGGGCCGCTGCCAGAGGCACCGCGGGCGGCGGCCTCCACGGAGAGGCCAGGCTGCTGCAGAGGCTGTTGCTCAGGGTATTCACGCGCGCCGGCCTCGTCGTCGGCGCCCGTGGAGTCGTCGTCGGAGTCGCCGCCATCGGCCGGCTGAAGCACACCATCCCGAGGAACCGTGAGCGAAAGAAGTGACGACGCGAGGGAAGGATCCGAGGACTCGGGCTGCATGAACAGAGCCAGGGCAGGGTCGTCGGGAACGACTTCAATGGCATCAACATCACCGCCCGGAGCACGCGCCCGCACTGAACCTCGGGCTGCACAGGCTGCTGCCGAAACCGCCGTGGTCTTGACAGACGCGACCTCCTCCGTATCTTGCAAGCTGGAGAATGCGGCCTTGAACGAGACAAGTTCCAGCACATGCGCACGTATAACCTTCTCCATCTTGACGACTTGTTGCTCACCGCGCAACCTGCTGCTTGACACCGTCGAGGGTGGTATGAGCGTGCGTGGCCACGGCCCGAGGGCCCCCAGCTGACAGGGCACGCTGCGCGACGACACGAACTCGCTGAATGGAGAGGAGCAGGGCCTGGCTCACCTCGAAATCGCCGGGGGAGATGCGGACGAAGACGGCCAGCTGGGCGGGCTCCAGCACACTGGGCGAGTCTTCGGGCCTGCTGGTGGGCTGTGCGGGTGGTGGCCCCTGGACCCGTTGCCCTTGCGCCTCACGGACAGAAGGGAGAACCGGGCACAGGAGGCCGAGTACGGCCGCACTTGTAGCAGAACTTCTTCCAAGCGAAGCTAGTGCTAACGCCGCGCATCTTGCGCGGGCAGCGACAGACATCGCCGCGAGACAGACTCCCCATGAAGTGAGTAGTACAGACGAAAGGATGTGGGATGTAATGAGAGCAACGAGGTGAACCCTCAATACTGTGCGCACTTGGGGGCAGCTAAATTACCCTCGTTAAACAAAGCCTCATCTTCTGAGCACGCGCTACGGACTTGAGCCATCCTTGCTACGGATACTCCTCGTCCTCTTCGTTCTGCTCGTCCTCCTCTCCTCATCCTTCTCCTCCTCCTCCTCCTCCTCCTCCTCCTCCTCCTCCTCCTTCTCCTTCTCCTCCTCCTGCTCCTCCTCATCCTCCTTCTCCTCCTCCCCCTCCTCCTCGTCCTCGTCCTCCTCCTTTTCCTCCCCCCCCATCCTCCCCCCCTCCCACCCCCAGGCGATTTCTCCTTCGGGGCCCGCGGCGCTCCACCGACGCACCGCCCGGCTCGGCGGGATCGGCGCCTCGCACGCTGCGCCTGGCGGGCTTCTCGGCGGGCGGGCGGGGGCGCTCCTTGGGAGCGCGGCCGCCCGTGGCGGCCGAGGGGAGCCCGCCGGCGAGCGCGGCCGGCGCCCTATGGGCTCACCGCAGGATGACGCGGGCACGGGGCGGCGAGGGGGCGGCGATGGGCGGCCTCCTCCTTCTCCTCCTCCTCCTCCTCCTGCCTCCTCCTCCTGCCTCCTCCTCCTCCTCCTCCTCCTCCTCCTCCTCCTCCTGCTTCCCCTCCTCCCGGGAGGCGGCACGAGCGAACTCGGCCCCCTCCTCTTGCAACCTCCTCTGGTCCTTCTCCTTATACAGTCGGACCCGATTGGACAGGACACGCGAGAGGACACAAGATCCTTCCGAGGTCCACATTGCCGCAGGAATGTAGGAAGCATGGGTCGCGACACACAGGACACAAGGGGACCCTTGATTTGTCAGGGTCGACATACTAATCTGAGCCGACTGTAGGTAAATCCTCCCTGCCGCACCCCGAGACGTGTCGGTGGGGCGGCCAGGCGTTTCGCACGATACTTCCTCACCACTGATGATCCTGGGGCTGAAACTACGCAAGAGTTTCACGGATGGATGGCGTGCCGTCGTCAAAATGAGGCTATCACCTTAGCGCCGCGCGCATTCGTCCCACAAGCTTACAGTAACTTCAAGGATGGAGGCGGATGTTGACTTCTCCTCTGCCAGGACCACTCCTTTCCCTGCACGTGGGAGGGGGTCACCCCTCCCACTACCCCCTCCTCTGGGCCTGGGGGGGTCGGGTAGTTAGAGCGCCGCAGATGGTCAACGATGGCTCCAAGAGGGCCTCAGAGAGCCCAAGACGGCCTCCCAAATGGCTCAAGACACTCCAAGATGGTTCAAAGTAGCTTCCGTCTCACATCCAAGAGGCCTCGAGACGGCCCCAAAACGGTGTCAAGCGCCCTCCGAGCCCTCCGAGGACCCCCCGAAGAGGCCACGGATCCTTCAGATGCCCAGGGGAAATTCGTGTGTTATGCCTTCTCACCTTTTCGCTTCCGATGGGCCCTTGAACCCTCACGACGGCCGTGTGCGAAACACACGTCTGCGACTGCATGCAGCACCCCGACTGCGGCGACGTCGTCGAGAGGAGGGCGGCGGACCGCGGCCGGGGTCCCAGGAGGCTGCGCGGCTGTCCGCTGCGCGTGAGGTCCGCGACGGCGCAATGGCGCAGGAGCAGGGCGGGGGAGGCTCGCGCCCGAGCGCGACTTCCAGAGCCTCTACGGCTTATGCGAGGAGGCCAATCGATGAGGCCACCCAGACACGGCGGGGGCTCCACCGCCATCGGTGCCATCCCTCGACATCGACGTCGAGCTCAACGCGCATTCGTGGGAGGCGAAGCTCTGCTAAGGGGAGGCCGCATCACCCCAACTGCGGCCGCACCGTCGGGGAGGAGCAGGAAAGCGACGACTGCGCCATCCTGCAGAAGGTTGCCATGCTGATAGGTTTACGATCCAAGAGCAAGTGTATAGGGAGGAAGCCAGTAGACCAGTTCTCTATGCATCGAGCCAGATATCCAACAGGCGAGCCGATTTGGAGGAACACCTGACGTGCATCAGCGGTTCTCGCCTTCTGGCCTTTCGTTTCCGATGGTCTTTTGAAGACTCGGCCCCAACACGGCCCAAGAAAGCCACGAGAAAGGACCCAGAGGCCGCCAGGACGGCCATCATGGCGCCGAGGAGCGCACAAGAAGCCCACATGGTGCGATTCTGATGGTCCCAGGGGGGAAGGCAAATCGTGGACCCCCCCTCTTTGGATCGATGCCCTCCAAGATGGCCCAAAGAGGCCTCCAGGGCCCCCAAGAGGGCCTCGGTCCTTCCTGAATGGGCTGGTGGGGACACTTCTTGGTCCGGGGGCGCGCGAAACTAATCGAACGCCGAGCCAACTACGGCGGGCCGCGCCGGTAGCGAAGAGAAAAAAACAGTGCGCGACGGCACGCTAAGGGTTGCGAAACCGACCAGGCGGTGAGCAGCAGAAGAGCGTGCCGAACACGAAGACCTTGCACAAGAGCGTGGCGAACACAGAGTGCCCGAAGAGCATGAAAGCAAACACGTAGTGACACGCGCAAGGCTGGTGGGGATGCGCGAAGCGTCAGCAATATGAATTTTCGGAGGTCTGCGCGGACTTCTCGCATCGCGCTGGTCACCCCTCACCAGCGCGCGCAACGCGCCAGTGGCACGGCCGAGAGCGCCGCCGGGAGGGTCCAGCGCCGATCCGAGACAGCCGCGCGAACCTCCAAACCTCCACTATGCTTGTGCAACTTCTTCTGACTCGATTCTCGTCCCCCGATCCTCCTACCTCCGCTCGAGCCCCGCTCCCCGGATGCCCCCGAACAGAAACACGACCGGAGCCCTAGCACCAATCTTTCAGCGGGACATTTCGAGCCTGGCTCCGGGGCCGGAAACAAGGCAAGATCGAACGTCGCGAAAAGAAGTGCGAGGCCAGGACCTCAGCGTCCTCCCGATGCTCCTCCAGCTCGCGTCCCCGATGCATCCCCTGGGAGCCTCGGGGATGGACAGAACCACCTTTAGCAAAACGCCCTTTAGTGAAAACTGCCAGATGTACTCCACAAGCGCACGGCACTGCATACCGAGTGAAGTCCGGCGGAATAGATAATCTGGGAGACTCACGTCGATAAGCGAAACTGAATGGGGACCCCACTAGTACAATCGCTCTAATGCCCATGTCGACTTACGGCCAGAAACTTTTGGATAGCGTGTCGCGGCGCCACGCTATGCCTTGCAAGCGGATGGCGTGTTAAGGCTCGGGACGTTGAAGCCTGGGAACTGGAAATTGGATAGCGCGTCGTGCCGAAGCGACATGGACCACCTGCCGAGCGACACGCTATCTTGAAAATTCCAGACCGCAAGTTCCCGACCGTAACCGGAAACTATCCCCTCAATCGACTTGTCTGGATGGGCGTTCTGACCATGCCCGTAGAGGAACGGCACATAACATAACCACAACAGCTTGGAGGCCCGTGCGGATTTCTCGGATCGGCGCTGGGCGCCCCCTCCCTGGCACGCGGAGCGCGATCCGAGGAATCCGCGCGGACCTCCGAGTCTTCATGTTTAGAGTCAACCCGTAGCGGAAGGATGCGCGGTAAGGATGCAAGGGCCTTGGAAGGCCATGCCGACACCTTGCGAGCGGGGAGCGGCCAGCGCAAGCGGCCGAGGATGGGCCGAAGGGGCAAGGATGCGAGGGCAAGGGTACCCTTGGGAAGGTTGCCCATCCTTCTTATGCGGGTTGACTGCATGTTTGTTCCCCGAGCCCGAGAGTCCTCCCCACTCACAACACGACCGGACGCCACGTGCCGCACCCACCGCGCCGCAGCTGCCCGCGGCAAGCTCGCGAGGCCCGCTCCCTTCCGTCAGGGCGCGGTTTGGCACACCCTCCTCCTCCTCGTCCTCTTCCTCCTCCTCCTCCTCCTCCTCCTCCTTCTCCTCCCAACCTCCTCCAGACTCCTCTTCCCCCTCCTCCTCCGCCCCTCTCCGCCTTCCGCCCTCAGCCCTCCTCCGCCCTCCTCTGCCCTTCTCCACCTCCTTCCCTCCTCCTACTCCTCCTCCTCCTCCTCTTCCTCCTCCTCCTCCTTCTCCTCCTCTTCCTCCACCCTCCGCCCTCCGCCCTCCGCCCGCCTCCTCCTCCTCCTCCTCCTCCTCCTCCTCCTCCTCCCCGCCCTCCCCGAACCGTCCAAGGGTTTGGTGGGTTTCTCGCCTGGAAGCTCGCAGGCCACAGCCGAAATTGCCAGACTGCCAGATGAGATCCCTCAAGGCCGCGCCGGCTGCACACCTGCTGCACCGCTCCTGGCCGAGCGGTTCCTGGGCGCTGGATCGGTGTACACGCCTTCCTAGCTTGAGCAGGAGGCCGTACTCACCCATACAGGGCTCAGGACGGGCCTCGCCAAAGTCGGTGCAGGTGTGCAGTTGACGCCTTCCGAGTCCTGGGCAGAAGTGCCCCCGGATGTCCTCGCAGTCCTGGAGCTCCTGGGGCCCCCTGGGCCTCGTGGAGCGGTGCTTTTGGTTCCCCCCCTTGACAAGCTTGGGCCGCCCTGGGCAAGGGTCACCTCTGGCAGCGCCGGATCCGACGAGCCCGCTCGCGAGAGTTGCGCGCGCGGTCCCCGGCGACTTCGGCGCCCCTGGCCTCCCCGATTCCGAGCTGTAGCGGCGAGATGCCGCACGGGCCGCGTGTTGCGGCGCGTGCCGAGACTACTGCCGCACAAACATGTAAGGAAACAAAATAGCATCCAGCATGTCCGCACAGGTCGGGACAAGGCGGGTCTGGGGAGGGACAGTAATACACCTGGCCACATCTGATGGAAGGTCCTTCGCTCTCGGGGCGCTGTGGAAAGGGTCGACAAGGTTGGGTCGTGTGCCCTGTGGGGGGAACGCGGAGTGGTAAGGGCGGTTTGATTGCAAAACGCTACCTCCGAGGCCAGCTGCTCTGAATGAGCCGGACCAAGAAAGATGAGTGTTCCGTCGGGCAAGGAGATG